CATGTGGCAGACCCTGAAGTGTGCCTATCCAATAAACATTATTAACAGAACCTCAATTTTTGTTAAGTACGGCAATGCACTAAATAGCCGTCCTCCCAGACTCCCTTGAGTATGAATGAAGGCAGCCATGTGACGAAGCTCGTGGGACACTTGTCCTTCACTCTTCTCCGTCCCCTCTCCCTGAAACTGGGACACAGTACGTACAATGTCAGCCTCCATATTGTAAACAGGAAGATGGCAGCCACCATTTAAGATAGCAAAGCAGAAAGCTGGGAGGAGGCTGGCACACTGGTGGCTCTGTGGGGCTGCTTCCCTGCCCCACACTGTTTACTGTTAGATGTCTTGTTATGTGAGATGAGTAAACACACACGCTGGGCATGCTGCTATCACATGATAAACAAATCCTGGAAAGTCTTGTGCTCTGTACAGATGTGCATTACAAATAATAGGCTCTTGGAAAACTAGGATTGGGGTAGACCACTCAAAATCTATGAACCCTTCTAACCACAGCAGTGACAAAATAATCAAGAGGGAATTTGGGCAGCCAGTTCTGTGTGGCTAGAGGCTTCTCTGTGGTTATTAAAAATTCACAAAAATGTTGACTGGAAACGTGGGCTTGCAGGAACAGAGACAACAAATGACGGAACCAGCACATAGGAAGGACTGTGATCTGCCATTAGCTGAGCGCCATGCAAGCCCAGGTGTACACTCTCTGGAGAGAGAGCCCCTGGGGTCATGCTCATTTCAAATTTTATTAAAAGACAGCTGAGGGGTCTCCTGCACGTACAACAGCTAGGTTGAGGGCTTTTTCATTTACTTCTCTCGCTATTCTAACTTGTCTTACTTAGGAAAGATTGTGACTGAATAAACACAGTTCCACATGATCCTTATATCATTTCCCTATTTACCAGTTGCATCTTGAGTGAGCTGGACTGTTTAAGTCACTGTTGTTTGGGTGTTCTATACACAGTCCAATATAATCCCAACAGTTAGGATGTAATGTTCCTACCTCTCCCATTCTATTCGCTACACAACGCCCTTGCTGACTTTCCTAAAATACCGGGCTAGTTTCTTCACTCAGTAGCATTACACTTTGCATGGCCCCAAATCTCTTTATGAGCAGACTTTGCTGGTTCCTCAGCCTCCCCTCCCTCTGCTCCACAGCTTAACCTGTGCATCCCAGCTATATACAAACTGCCTTTGGCTCTTCTCTCCAGGCATGCGCAAGGCTGTCATTTGTGTTCCTGTCTGTGTACTTTGCTCCCCGCTGCCTGGAATGCCTCTTCCCATGTGGCCTACCCAATAAACTATTAATCTTCAAAACCCTATTCAAGAGTCACCTCTAGGAACCCTTCTCTGACACCTTCCTCTGAATAAACTGGGTGCCTCTGATACCTTCTGTTATTGCACGTATCACAGTGCACTGATTAAATGACATTCATGTTTGCCTGGCATGTAGTGAGTGACCAATAAACATTTGCTGAATTGAACTTGGCCTCTCCCTGATGAGGCCAAAAGCAGGAAGGTTGTGAAAATGCTGTTCTAGGAATTCCCATGGCATTCTCACAGCCTGGAGTGAATAGGGCATTTAAAAAGAAATTATCTATTAGTACCATAACAAAATGTACAAATATCAACTCTCAGGCAACTAATCCAGGCAAAATGCTGAAGCTTGCCTGGGCAAGAGAATGGTCCTAAAGAGAAAGAAAAGGCCGAAGAACAAGCTTACATGATTAGAAAGAGTTGTCCTAATGTTTACCCATAAAATAAAAGACTAAACTGTACCAATAAGTTGCCTTGGAGATACCACCCAGAGACCTGTTCAATTCTATCAACAATCAAACGTTAAAAGAAATGACACCTATCCACCTTACTAATAAAAGCAATATGAATAGATAAAGTGAATACAGAATCAACAAAACTGTGCTCTGGTCCTGAGTCATACACTAGGTGAGGGAACTTGAAAAAGCAGTGCTATTAATCTTTTCAAATGATGCCTTTTACAAAACACCTCTCAATACAAATATATGTTGAGCACACAACCTCTAAGCTCTGTATCAATTAGTCTGGCATGAAGAAAAGTCAATGGCCTTCATTTTCTTCTTCATCTGTGAGTTCTTCTTCAAAGACCCTGTGAGTTCAAACCTTTCATGGCTCTATGTAATGCAACAGCATTTACATACAAGTACATTTCTCTATGGAAATATATAAACATGTATGTATTTTGTATCTTTGCTTAGAAACACACAGATTAAGAATGTGGCTTAGAAATGTGAACCTCATTTTAAAGGTGCCTGTGGTTTTCCTGAAGCAGCAATGCCGAGACGCCTTCTATTCTTCTAGGTCTCCATTCCCAACTCTAAAAATACAGTGATAACATTGTTCTCTGACCTCTACCTACTGCAGAGAGCACAGAGGATAGGAGTGATGATGCTCATTAAAGCCATGAACTTCACGAAAGAGAGAACAAATACTCACTGTAGCTATCATGTTTACAACCCTGACAATGCTTGGAGCTTCAAAAAATCTAGTTGTATAAGGGGATGAAGTTCCCTGTTACCAAGATGCTGTAGGATGCCATCCAGAAAACTAGTTCAACCAAAGCTGAAAGGTATGGCCAAGGTCTCTGCTCCTCTCCTTCCAAGCACTGTCGCACCCACTTGAAAAATGGTAGATCAATTGGGTCTTTATCCAAATGTTTTTGCCAAGGAAGTTCCAGAAAAACACTTCCAGAAAAATGCTTGGAGGAGGAAGTAAGGCTGTATCTAGATCCCTACCCTGTAATTCCTAGCAGTGGCCCAGTAGCTAATGCATGGACACTCCCTCTGCAAGCTCCTCACAGCAGCCACTCACCCATCTTCTGGGAGAAAAGTCATATTTCCCAATCTGCGTAACTATGTCCTAATCTTGTCCAGAAAGGCTTGTCATATGTGTTTATTTTTAGGGCTTCTGTGAGCAATTTCTCATTGGCCATGGGAATTTTTAACAATGGTGTAATCCCCGAATCTCTTTTAAAATGTCTTCAGAAAGCAGAAAAAAGGAAGAAAAGAAAATCACCTATTATCCTACTACCATGATAAAAAGAACTGGTAACGTTTGAGAGAATTTCCTCTCAATTGTTTTCTACACACAAGTTAATTTTTGAATTTTTAAAATGTGTTTCACAGTTGTAATCAAAGAGTGTTATACTGCATTTCGTTGGAACCACGACACCATCGACTGTGAAATGTTCCATTATTCTGTATAGCACCAGAAAGAAAAATCATTGCCAATTATATGATGCCACTGACTGAGATATGTTCAGATTTCAGTTAAAGTGAAGGTTAAAATCGTGTGTCTTAGGATAAATGACCTATATTCTGTAGTTCACAAAGTCCACATTCATGCTGTCCCTCTCCCGCCTGCAGTTAAGGATGGCTTCACAGCACAGGGCACCTGGATCTCCACCACGTTAGACAAGCTTCTCATCTGGGGTGGGAAGCCCCCCTTAGAACGGAGAGTGCTCTGTTTGTCTTTCTCGTATACACATTGCTTTGCACATAGTAGGCACTCAAGAAATATTTCTTGGTTGAATACATAATTAAAGCTTCAGAAGAAATTGACCAACAGAAGGTAAACTTTACAACAGGCCCAAAGAATGGTGGAAGCCCAAGTTTTGTTAGTGAATACGGGGGTTGTGTGACTATACCTGGGGAGAAGGGAGAAGAGACAGATGGAACTTTGAGCTAGAGGCATTGACCCTGGGCTTGTCAAGGTCATTCCCTTCCTATAGCCTGCCACTGTCTCCACACTGCCTCGTCTTCAGCTGCCCAGGTCCTTACATTAATGTTCTTATCCAAGCCTCGCTCCATAGTGCTGCTTGATTCTGCCATCTTGGGAAATCATTCACACTTAATAACACTCAATTTGAACACTGATTTAGATTTGCTTAGAGACACCACCTATTATTTTCAAGTAACAACTCACATGAAGCAAATTCAGGAATCAGCAAGACGTTGACGAAGAATCATATTTTTCAGAAGAAGCTGAAACACTCAAGTCTAAATGGACAGTATATCTTCTGCTTATATAAAAAGGTCTGAGTGTCCCCAGGAAGTAAATAGCTATGCATAGTTTGAGTCTATATGATTTAGCAATTCAACCTTCTATAGATGTTACTGTCTGAGTCAGCAAAATGGGTTTAAATAAAGAAAAGAAGTGAAGGCAGACTGAGTTCTCCATACATGTTCCGGGTTAAACATAAGACCTACACATTTTGAAAATCATCATGTTCTCTTGCCTTCCATCCCTTTTTCTCTTCCTCCACATGACTATCAAGTATCTATGTGTCTTTACAACATGTGAAGAACTGTGCTAAGCTCTCTAAGAGAAATGACAATGGGCCAGAAAATTCTGACCTCAGAAAGAAGTTTACACATTAACAATGAAGATAAGTTTTACTCACAGAGAAGTAAATTACAAGGTAGAGAGAGCGTAAGTACTATCAGAGGGATACAGATGATAATGTATTCATAGTTTAGAGCCAGGAGAGGTTACGTCCAGCTAGGAGATCAGGAAAGGCTTCAGAGAGGAGGTGTCATTTCATCTGGGCCACGAAGGATGGACAGGATCTGGGCATATGGGAATAGGGACAAAGACCTGTGAGAGGAGAGGCGAGCATGAACAAAGGGCTCCTGTGGTTCCCTTGCACGCGACTGTTCATGGTTTAGAAAAGAAGATGCTGTTGTTAGGGCCTCTCCATGAGGTGTTCAAGTGCTGGGTCACTTAATGGCTCATCACCTTGGGCTGACCACTTTGGGGTATCATAAGTCATACTACCTTAAGGCCAAAGCCAGGAAAATACTATAAGATTTCATGCTGATGGTGACATTTTAGAGGGAAGTCATAAAAGGCAAAGCCTGGTGTAAAACAGAACATTTGAAATCCACAACGGGTAACTAAGACATTTGATTAAAAACATCACTTTCCAAAACTCAAGGGACTGACAGCTCCTCACTTACCATGGACGTGGATTCCATTTGGTTGGAAAGAAGCGTTTGTTTCCGGTTGATAAGACTTCAGGTGTGATCCTGAGAGCTGCTGGGTATGGGGAGGCTGTGTTCTCTGCATTATAGAAGGAGCCGGAGCTCTCCGGGGGCTGATGTGGTGAGGAGATGGAGCAGAAGGTGCAAACCTGAGAAAACAATTATAAAAGGAAACATGAGGGACTAAAATCACAGGAGCAAAGACACTTGTCAAAGCCAAATTCTAATTCCCCATCCTAGCTACATAACAGCATGAGAAAAAGCCCTTCAAAAAAAAATACTTTAAGACTTTTGTCTCCCAATTTTAACCACTGACTTCTCAACTGAGATACTGAGGGAACAAAAGAGATCAACAAACAGGAAATCTAGTCACAGTTTGGGTTTTTCAAGCTTCTTAAAACGCATTTCAAATACTCTGGGTTTGGTGAAATTAAAAGCACATCTTTTGTCAGACCGCTTTTCCGCTAATTTTTAAATCCCTTTGCATTTTAGGGGAAATTTGATCCGTATGTTTCTGATTCATTTACACTTAGCTCATAAACATTTTGTTCTGTAAGACATATCTGAGGTCCAAGAAGTGTTACAAGTCTTTATTATAAGCCTTTCTAATCCCATTCTCTTTAAACAATACATTTTCTTTTGCCAAGAGTAAATTAACTTAAACCTCAAAGGTCAAGTGTGGTTTGAAATCCAGAACCCAAGAGATCTGCGGGGGTTCTGTGCTTGGCAAAGAACACTGCCCCGGGTGTAACAGGAACATGGCGTGGGACATCTTTTGCAATCACATGAGCCGATCACAATACGACTATTGGTAGTTTCTGTGGGAGGACATACAGGTGTTTAAATAAGGTGGCAGCAACTAACCTGGCATATAAAATGAATAACTTTCCATTGATCTAACTGTATGAGAGAATTGGCAGGATGTGAATGACTAGATGTAAAGTGAATTTATACACTCTCACACTGAAGGGAAGGTGTACTTGTGAGAACAATGTTAAAGTTTAGCAATGTTCATAGACTATCAAAATGGTACTCGATTTGCCAGTTCAGTAGGGGGCTGGCACTGGCACAGTGTGGTACAGAAAGGGTCAGGGGATCCACTGAGGCAGCAAAATAATGTCTGGGGAAACTAGATTAGCAATGAATTGCTTGGTCTCCCCAAAAGGGCCCAGTGAGTTTCAAACTTTCAGTTGGCTGTTTCTTCCACTTTGTAGAAAGACAGGCTTTGTTCTACACCGATGTGTAGAAGTTGCCATCTGTGTATACCACTTATTTCACAGGAACGAATCACTCATTTGGCTAGGCCTTTGTAGAGGGCCACAGATGATAAAAAGGAGGACAAAGCCGTCAAGTTTACCAAGTAATTTGCAATGTTCTGAACCAGAATGTTTAGTAAGGCTGAGCTTCTACATTTGTATTACAGCTGCAAGAAACCGAGGGAGGAAATACCATGTTCTTTTTCGCATTCTCCTTATTGAGGTGTGAAGAGGCTGTGTAAGAAGATGATGTAGAAACCACGGAGGGAGGATTCGGACTAGATGACCTCTGGAAAAGGGAAGTTAGTGGACGCCTGAAACGACTAGTTGAGTTAGGATGCCTGCTTCATTGATAATTTATATCTTTGCTCTGCTGAAGGAGAACAGTGAGTGTCCTGTGCCAGTAAAATATATCTTTTCCAAACACATCATCTTAATTGGAGTTACTCATCTAAATGATGTGCTAAATGGCCTTGAGAGAAAACACAGCAATAGAACACTGGCACTGCTTGAGAACATCTAGTAAAAACTCGTACACCAGGATTCCTCATGTGGAGGCTGTTTTCTTGGGGAACATGTCCTTAATGTGCCTCAAAAGCCACTCTGAGGTTGTGGGTCAGGGATGAGGAATTGTGGGGTCACAGGCTTTACAGCTAGAAGGAGTCCACACTACTACCCGACACCAGAATCCCTGGGAGGGAGGGTGGTGGATTGGAAGGCAACCTGTATTACTACTTAAATAGCCATCATTGGCATCTCAAGTTTTTTTGGGTTTTTTTGTTTCTTTTTTTTGGGGGGGGGAGGGGCGGGGGCAAAGCAGCAAAATCCTTTGACTGGCTTCCTCACTATATTTTTTCATCTGAGAATAAAAGATGCAACATGCTCTAGATGGTTTTCTGGATTTCTTCTGGTACTTCTGCCACCTTTCCCTTCTGTTGAGGACTGATGGAGCAGAAATGTGTGGACTGGGCAAACTGCAGTATTTAGAAGTAGGACCCCAATATCATGGGATTGATGGGGACCAATTTTCTTTCATAACTCTCCAGCCCCACTGCACAGTTAAGTCTGACTCATAAGCAAGGGTTTGATTAACATAGAGTAGAAAAGGTGTGTGGGGAAGGGGAAGGAGGCAAAGGGTGTCAGCAATATAAAGCTTAATATTTTTATAATTTGGTGTGATGTTGCTATAGGGTGAATTATGATTACTAGCTATAAAAACGGGGGATAGTCAACCAACGAACTGAACAGAACTCATTTCAGCATTTTATGAGTAATCTAGAATGTAAATTCTATATAACAGACTGTATCTGTATGTAGATTACATATCTACATATAAATTAGATATCTGTGTATCTATCTAGAGAGTATATAATTATATGCTAATTATCAATCATTCTTATCTTATTCATTCACAGGGAGTTCCAAACGCTGGCCATGCCCTCTTAGTTACCACATATTACTTAATGTAATAATGATGAGAAAGAAAGAAAGAAAAAAATGTGGTAGTATACACACCAGCTTTTAGCATTGCTTATCTCAGAGACCCAGGGAGAATAAAATAATGCCGACTGAGCCTTCAGCTAACTCTGTATTTTGCTTTTTGCTAATTTGGATTGGATTTTTCTCCACATTATTTAAATAAATAAGATTATATGGTATAAATTAATTTAATTTCAAAATATAGTATGTCATTCCATATAATTAAGAAAAATTTAAGTATAAACTATTCTAAGTATTCTAGGTAAATAAATGTATACCTAAGGCAGTCTTTGATTTGGAAAGAAAAGAATTGGTATAAAAATTTTAACATTTACATGTATAGAAAAAAGATGAAAAGTGGTAAGACATGATCTCAATTATCCAGACAATTGCTAGGAACAAGGAAATAAGAACTCAGCACTAAAAAATTGAGTATTCGGAAGTGAGTGTGTATATGTGACTGATTTTCAAGTACAGCACGTAGAATCAATTTTGTAGCCTAAAATGACTACACAGTATTTTACTGAAGAGTCTCTCACAATCCCTCTATTAATTTAAATTTAATTTTTATAAACTTGGTTACTTGTTAACCAGCTCATAATAGAGTAGAAACAGCAAATTAAAATTAGGGCTGCGACGGGCAGGAGAAGAGTGGAGAAGGTGAAAGCGAGTCCTGTTGTTAAAGCAAAGCTCTGGGTTCCCAGCATAATCACTGACAACTCATAGCAGGAAAGATGCCAGAAAAATGATTTCAAAAGTCAAAAGGACTCAAGAAACTTGAGTGGTTTGAGGCCATTTACTCCAGAAGCAAGCAAACAAACAACAGCCATGCTCACTGAGTAAACAGAAGCTCACTAAGTAAAACATAAAACATTCCTATTGTTACTGAAGGAGGGATGAACCCCTTTCTTAGTGTCCTCAACTATTTTCCAAACTTGTTTTAAACAGCACACCACGCATACCAAAATGAATAGGTCTAAATATTCTGCCCAAAACAGGGGTATCTTTTAAATTCAAAGAAGGTATTTTTTAAATATTTATGCCAAAATAAACAAACAAACAACTTTGATGCTGACTATAAATTGCAGTGATTTACAATTTTTCTCCTGTGGAATATCTCATTCCTCCATGATGTTAGGACAAGAGGATATCACTCTGATTCATTGTGAGCTACAGGAGTGTCCAAAGCCAGAAGAGAGATGGTCTGAAAGTTTTCTAGGTCCAACTATGTCCCACAGCTGCTGATCTGCAGTTGACATTTCACAGATTTCATTCAACAGAGCTTGCCAGTCAGTCTCTTCTCTGGCCTTTTATATTTTTATGAAACAATAGGAAATTGTTATGTAAATACGCACACAATAGACTAAAGCTAAAAAAACAAAATAAAACAAATCACTGCTTACCAGAAACATCACACAAAAGCAAATCAGAGAACTGAGTCAACCATTTCCACTCATTTAGTGGAGTTTATATAACCTTCACATGAGCCATGGTTCAATGGCATGCCAAAAAAAATAAATAAAAAAAAAGGGATGGGAGGAAACACGTTTTAAAGGGCTCATAAGATTTTCTGGAAAAAAAAAAAAGAAAAACAAACAAACAAACAAACAAAAAAAACTTAGAAAGGTTTCTACAAATATTTATCTATACACATCTTAGATAATGTCTGATATTTTGGGGGTATTTACTTGGTTATGCTCCCACCTTCTGTTCACACTAAGCTCCCCAACCTTGCAGTGAATTAAGCCAGAAGCACAGAGGTTATCTTTCCTGCAAATGCAGTACTCAATCTCAGATTGTTCCATAGAACAATAGGTCCCAATCGAGACATGTAAAACCGGTCAGGATCATATGCAGAAAAACCGCAAATGGCAGGAGAAGCAGATGGATGTGCTCTAAGACAGATGTACTAGAAATCCTGGGCTGGAAATCTGGCTTTGTCCCTTCCTCGCTGGGTAATCTTGAATAAATTACCTGACTTCCCCCAGCTTCAATTTCAAGTATAAAATAAAGATAATCTTGACTCTCAATGGGGATCATAAAATCTGAGATAACATTTTTATTTATGCATTCAAAAGATATCTACTGAGCACTGACCAAGTTTGTGGCACTGCTTTAAGCACTAGGGACAAAGCAACACATGACACATATCCTTGTCTTTGTGGAACTCATATTTCAGAAAGGGGAGGCAGGCAATGAACGAATTTAAATAAGCAAACCATGTGTTGGGCTACAGGAAATGAGTATTAGGAAGAAAAATAAAGACTAGAAGGTGAGGGATGGTAGTGGATTATGAACAAATTTAAATTGGGAAGTCAGAGACCTCCAAGTACTTTAGACAATAAATGTCTGACACTTTTTAGATGAGGAATACATGGCTATGAAACGACTTCTCTCATATTCCTTATATTAAC